CATTTATTTTTTGAGAATATTCTTGTGCCTTCTCAGAATTATTCACAAAGTTATAAAATTCATAATACTGTTTCATTTGTGAAAAGTAAATTTGATGTATATTTTTTTGAACCCTTTTTACTTGTCTTTGCTCACATTTTTTATGAATAGTATATAAAAATAAAAAATGATATTCTTTTAATTGGTTTAAGTTTTTAGTAAATAATTCTTGCATAATCTCATTTTCAAATTCTTTAATTTCTTCAGAAGTAAATTCTTGTTTATAATTCATTTTTTTGTATTAAAAAAAAATAATAATAATCAATTTATAAATAACAAAATATAGATAAACTCACTTTAAAATTATGGAAAAATCTGTCTAATTTATGAAACTTATTATTTGAATAAAATAATCATCATTTATTTATTATTTATTATTTTTAATTCTTATAAAATAAACTAGTAAAAATTCTTAAAACTTATTAATTAAAAAAATATATATAAATAAGGTAAAGAAAAAAGTGAGAAAATATCTAATTTTGTTAATTTCCAAATACAATATAAAATCTTCTATAATCTAATCTAGCATATCTAAACTAAAACAAATGTCTTTCTTCAAAAAAATTAATAAAAAAAACAAAGATGCTGAAACCCAAACTGAAACTGAAACTTGAAAATGAGACCAAAACGAAGTAAAATATGTTGGATGGCAAAATTCTACTTCTAATGAAGGATCTATTATTTATAAAGAACTATTGACTTATAACCAATCTTCAGAGTCAGCGGTTCTTAACCCACTTGAAAATAATTTTTCAAGCATGCAAATTACCCCTGAATATGAGAATCGATCTGAAGATTCTCAAGAAACTATAACTGAAGATAATACTTCAGTTAATAAAATTCTTTTAAATCTTTTTTTATTTTTTTTTATTATTATTATCCTATATTTTTTTATACGTATTTTTTTCTTTATTATGTGGTTTTATAATTTTCAAGAAATAATTATTAGACTTAGACTTAGTAAAGGAGATTTTGAGTATAAAATAGACCCTTTACAAATCAATTTCATACAGGCTACTATTAGTCGTTATTTTTCAGGATATAATGGATATACTGTTGATGATACAATTAATGAATTAGTTTCTGGTAAATTAAAGCCAAAAGATTTACCAGTTATTAGAGTTTGTATTATAGAGGGACAATTTTTTTCTGCTGATAATAGACATTTATACTGTTATCAAAAAGCAATTAAAAATAATACAAACTTTAAGAAAGTTCCTGTAAAAATTGTAAGAGAGACAGATGAACGAGCAGGATTTAAATAGAAAATGGAAGGTAGTCTAATAGTTCTACCAAAACAAAATTAGCAAAAAACAATGATCTCAGATCATGCAAGAGCAGGTAGAGCAATTGATATATGTGGAAATTCATATGATATATTTAATTAATTTTAATAATTTTAGTTTAATATATAATTTATTTATATTTAATAAAGAATATATTGTATATTTATAAATAAAATAATTTATTGTGAAACTTATATGATTTATATTAAATTAAGATTATAAAAATAAAATATAATAACTAATTATATAAATATTTATTGTCGACTATAAATATTTATATAATTAGTTATTATATTTTATTTTTTATATTCTTAAACTTAATAATTGATTGTGCAATCTTATATACAAATTTTTACTAAACTATTTACATAAATTCAAATTTCCTATCATAATTTAAATCTGATTTATATATTATTCATCAATATATACAATATATACTTCCTTCTATTTGGCGTTGGTTGTTCTTGTATGCTATAGCAGGGATGTTAATGCAAAGTTTATAGACAATTTGAGATCTGTCATGTAGAATTGTATTATTTCTTTTGTCGCTAACGCTTACCATTTATAATTATCTGAAGTATTTGGTAATAAGATTCTATCAAGAAATGAATCGTTCTGGATACTGTTCATAAACAGTAGTTCAAAAACATAATTGAAATAATATATTAATAATTATAGTTATTGTTATATTAATAGCAACTATTTCAATATAAAAAAAGATTTCCGAATAAATGATTTTATTAATAAAATAGTAAATATCAGTTTGATATTTACTATCAAAAAAGTTTGTAAGAAATAGTCCTAAAAGGACTAAAATAGTAATAATAAAAAAGAATTTTGAATATAATTTTAGATTTAGGTTTAAAATATTTAGAATGATTTAATTTGTGTTGTAAATTTGTGTTAATTAGTTTGAAGCAAAGAGAGTTGAACGTTCTTTTATTAATAATCAAACAATATATTTTTTACAATACTTAATTCAAATGTGCCAATTTACTTAATTTGGTAAATTCATAGTCATGTATCATTAATTGGTTTATTTATAATATTAAAAAATTCTAATTGTATTCCTAATTAAGTATATTTATACAAATGCAGCTATTTATTAGATATTTATTATATCTTGTGATACTGTAAGAATTTTATCGATCTTTTGGTCTATTATTAATTGTGTATTACTTTGAATCTCCAAATTATTAAAAATTTGATTTATTTGTTGATCACTTTGTATAATAGTACTTGCACCACCAGTATCTGATTCTGAAATTCTTGTTCTACCAAGTCTTCAATTTATTACTCCTAATAAAGTAATAAAAGTTCTATTTAAAAGCCCAGTACATATATATTCTCATATTCTAAATGATGTATTATAAAAAACTAGAGATGATTCTATAGCTATTTCATATAAATGAGTATCATCATTAGGATCAAATGTTCTAAGTAATTTAATACCAATTTTAAGATGTTCAAATCTAATTGAATTAATAGAAATTGGAACTGAATTGTTATTTTTTGTAATATAAGTATTTAATGCTCATAAAAATGAAATAAATTCACTATTTTCAAAATATAAACTTGTTTCTATCCAAATAATCTTATTAAAAGTTTAAGTATTATTTATAGATTGTATATTAACAAAAATAATTCAATCACCATAATATCATTCAACTTTAGTTTTAATTCCAAGATTTAAAAATTCTATAGACATTTTAAAATTATACGTAAAAAAATAAATTTGAGTTTATTTATATATTTTAACAATAATAAAATAAAATAATAATAATAAAATAAATTAAATTAAAATTGAATTGTTCGTTATTTAATATTTTAAATATCCTCAGTTACTCTAATAATCATATCTAATATTTGAAGAACTGTTAATTGAAGCTAATATAGAATTTATCTTCTAGGAGTTACTTCTGGTGAATAACGAACTTGACCATTACTTCCAATTTTTTCAATATAAATACTCCCTTTATATCTATTTGTAACTTGACCATTATAATTTAATATATCTCTATACCTCTCCTTTTCTCAAGTTACTAACTTATTAATTGTTGTATCAGGTAAGGCTATTACAGATGTTTTAGCATAACGTGGACCTTTTGGTTTTGGAACAACAACTCTTGGACTATTTTTTCTAGATCTTGGTCTTCTCACACGTTGTCTTTTTCGATTTTTATTAGTAACTTGTCTATACATGCTAAATAATATTAAATTAATTATCAAAAGATAATTAATAATTTGAATTGCACCTGCATCCTTTTCTCAAACGTGTACATATATTCTTTTTTCTTTCCACTTGTTTATAATATCGCCATTTTGATTCAACACTATTAATTAAAACAACTATTGATAACAACACAAAAAATACCAAATAAAATCTCATTTTATTTTTAATACGAAGGATAAGACAACTATTTATATAAAATATAAATAGACAAAGAATTGATATTAATTATTATTTAAAATAAAATAAGATCACAAGTTAATTTTTATCTCAAAGTGAATGAATTAACAGAATTGGAAAAAAATTTAAAATAAAAGATTATGCTAAAGAACAACAAAAATACAACTCTATAATGAAAAAAATCAAATAAATATTAATATTACAACACTTGCTATTGCTCAAGAAAATATTAAAAATTTTTTATTTCAAGATATTAGATTCACACCAAATTCCAGAACAAAATTAATATTAGATTTATATTAAATATTATATATTAGTATATTTGGTCATAGAACAAATGAAGAACTTGGAAATGGCAATTGTAGATACTGTTTTCCTTTATCTGTAACTCAAGGAGAAATAGATGTAAATAATAAGTTTGTAATTAATTCTATAAGAAAATTATTTAAAGTGAGTAGTTATTCAAATAAATTTTACAACTTGTCAATTGTCTATAACAGATTTAGTACAAAAGAATAATATATTACTAGCAGATAATGTTTTTATAGATTTATATAATCTGGTGAATAGTCCAATTAAAAGAAATTTTAATGTTGTTTTTGATAAAATATATATTATAGAATGTAAAGATTGTAATTATGAACAAACCCTCTGTTTTAATTAGAAAATTGAAAAACAATAATATGTTACTCAATCTAAAGCTGATAATAAGTTTATTTAATTTAATACTGGATTTTTTTAGTTTCTGTTAATGATTTATCAGAACCTCTTAGAATGGCCAAATACATGAATAACACAAATGAAAAAACTCAATACTTTGTTGAAACATCATTTAAACCCAGTTTGAATGAAGGGTTTTTAAAAGGTCCTCCAAGACTCATTATCAAATTAACTCAAGCATATAGATTTATTGATTTAAACACCAATAATACTCAAATTATTAAAAATATAGTTGATAATATAAAAACTTTAAAAAGAAAATTTATAGAGAAGAATGATGAAAAAAAATAAAAATAGAAGACTGAGAAGTTTAAAAAAAATAGATGGATAAATTACAACTTTATGATTTACTTTTGTTTACCCTTTTATTAGAAATTATTATTCTACTTTTTCTATTTATTTTTGGTGCGATTCAATTTTACAAAATTGATATTATTTCCTTATACAATTTACAACAAATATTAACAACAGTTATCTCAAAATCATTTTCTTTTTTTATCAAATTTATTGATCAAAATTAGCAAAAGTGGCTCCAATTAATAAAAAAAAAATAAAAAATCCAACACCACAAAAAAAAGTATCAAAAAAAACTACAAAAAAACAAATAACATTTGAATAACCTAAAACTAAACAAATAACCAAAACTACATCAACTAAAGAAATTAAACAGTGTAATAATAGTTGTCGTTGTTGTTATGCTAAAGAATCTGGACCGTGTAGTTCTAGTTGCATCTGTTGTTTTCTACCAAACAATAAAAATTCTATAACAGTTGGATTAAATTAATATAACTACTTCACAAATAAATACTTGTCCTTATTAATAGAAGAGTTAATACCACTTGAACAACATTGTAGATTAAAAACTTATAAAAATGAACAAACACATTACAATGCTCTCATACAAAGAGTAAGAAGAAGACAAAATATCGCAACTCCAGCAAAGACAGCAGATGGTGGAAATACACTTACTTATTTCCCTTTTCAATATTATTCTAGTAAAATGCTATTTCAAGATATTAGATTTAATACTGGAATATTAAATAAATATATGTTGGATTATTATCATATTATGAGACTAAATATCTTTGGAAGTAAAAACTCTATAATTAATCATACTAATACAGATACTGGATTAAATAAATACACATTTCCACTTGCAACATCTCAAGGAGGAGAAGATACTGATGACAAATTTACAATTAATCCAATAAAAAAAAATTTTCATATCAGAGAAATAGTTGTTCAAATAGACTTTACATCATGTCAACTTTCAATAAGTCAAGCAATCGAACAAAATAATTCAACACTTCCAGCAAATATTGTTTTTGAAGATTTTAATAATTTGGTTAATAGCCCAATAAATAAAACTTTTAAAGTTATATATGATAAAATAGAAACAATTACATGTAAGGAATGTGATTATGAACAAATTCTCTGTTTTACATGGAAAATAGAAAAACAATGATGTATTTCAAGAGCCAGTACTACAACTGGAAATCAATTTATTCAATTTAATACTGGATATTATTGATTTATTAGTGTAAATGATATAAATGAAAGTTTACATATTGTGAAATATATGAATAATGTAGATGAAAAATCTCATTACAATATTGGTTCACAATTTGTACTATCACAAAGAGATGGATCTTTATGAGAACAAGCAGGAACAGTTTTAGAATCCAACAAAACTTTTAGATGGATTGATCTTAACACAAATAATGCACAAGCAATTCAGAGATTAGGTGATGCTATAAATGATTTAAAATGACAGTTAGAAGAAGCGAATGATGAGAAACATGATAAAAAGTAATTAAATTATTATTATAAATTAAATATTATAAAAAAAACAAACAAAAATAAACCAACAACACTATTTCCACCAATACCACCTAATGAAAATGATGAAAATAATAATAATTCTCCTTCACCAACCAATACACCAACACTGACTACAACAATTCCAACTCCTACAACTACAACAACAACTTCTACCACTAATATACCACACTCTACATCTACAACAACTATTTTTACGTTTTCAACAAAACCAATTTTCCCCTCTGAAACTACTACAACTACTAGTACTACAAAAACTATATCAACTACAATAACTAAACCATTACCCTCTAAAACTACTTCTTTTACTACATCATCATTATCAAAAACACTATTGTCCTCGAAAACTACTATTATTCCAACTTCTAACCCTACAAACACTCCACCAATTGATAATTTAGTTAGCTGTCCTATTTGTAAATTAGAATTAAAAGAATCTAAGATTGAAACTCATTTAAAAGACCATATAAAAAATCATTTAGCAAAAAATTTTATTCATAATAAATTAAAAATGAAAAAACAAGCAACAGAATTCAATAAAATAAAAGAAATAATATATAAACTCACTAATATACAAGTGAAAAAAATAATTAAAGAAATTCAAAAACTTATAGAAAAATATGGTGAACAATTTATAGACTATATTCCTGATGAAATGAAAGAAAAGATTCTATATAACTTTGATAAAATTATGATTGGTGTTATTGGATCAATTATTAGATTTTCAAATTTATCTGTTTTTTTCTATAAATTTTATTTTTAAATTCTATATAAATATTGTATTTATTCTTTATTTTTAAAATAATAAAATGACATCATCATCATCATCATCATTAATAATTAGATTTAATCAAATAAATGAAGAAAATCAAAATATTAAAATTGAAAATGATAAATTACAAATTAAATTAATTGGCTTGGGAAAAGAAAATAATAATTTTAAAGAAGAAATCGAAAAATTAAAAAAACTACTAATAAATTTAATTTAATTTGTGGATACTAAATCCAGATGTCTATCAAAATATCAGATGCATCCGGATGAAAAAAATTAGCTGCCTCTTCTTATATTTTAAAAATAATTATAGCCAATTATAGCAGTTTTCATTCTAATTGAGACAGCTGATAAAAAATTGATCAAATAATTATATACTAGCTTGTTAAGTTTTTGATTTTATGACTGATCACAATTTTTTATCAGTTGTTATAGTTAGAATAAAAACTACATAATGGTGAGATAGTTGCAATTATTGTGCTTTGTAAAAGATGTGATTTTGTAAGAGAATTTTTATAATAACTTATAGTAGAAATCATGGTAATTCAAATAACGGAGAAATGTTAAACATTATAAAATCATTACACAATTAATAAAATTTTTTTTATATTATTTTACAATACTTTTTTGGAAGCCTCACTTGACTTATTTTTTATATAAATATTGAAAATAATTAAACAAACATGAAAGCTCTCACTTTGCTTTATAACAGAATCCCCTTGAATCCTATAGTTTTTCTTTTTGTAAATTTTGCAATTTGATTGGTTGACTAATTTTGTAGTGATATTTTGCTGGTTAATACAATGAGTGATCTGTGTAATAGAGAATAAAAATCATATCTATATTTAGACGTTTCTTCCAAGTGTACACAAACTCAGTTGCACTGATTAATTAAAAAATCAGTGGCGCCATAGAAACTACGATTTTTCTTGTTATATATAAAATCCGGATACATCTGGATAGTTATCCGAATTCTAATATTTTAATTTAGAAGGATATCCAGATGGATGTTTTTTGAAACAAATGTTAATCTGGATATCCGAATTGTCATCCGGATCCCAACACTACTGGCATCTAACTTACTAAATGACTTTCTGAAAAAATCACTAAAAGCTTATTCAAGATTGCCTTTTTCTTAATATTTTTTTCTCTTCAAAGAGGTATACAACAAATAGGAGTAAGATAACAAAAAACACAAATAAAACAAAAACAACAAAAACAAAGAGAAAAAAGAAAAAATAAAGAATAAAAAAAAAGAAAATAAATATGAAAGGGAATATAAAGAGAAAATGACAAAAAAAAGAAAACAAAAAGGATAGCAAAAAATTCTGTCTTTTTAGTACTATTTTTTTTTTTTTTTAATAATTTGGCAGTTATACTTTAACTTTATTAGGCTTTATACAACTTATCTAGAATATGTAAAATTTTACAATCGGGCATTTTAGAAGGTAAGTGATAAACTCTTAACTTGTTGGCAAATAGCATATGAGAACTATCTCTAAACAACAAGCACTGTAGCCCAAATTGTTACCTAAATTACAAGTTACAACTAACCCGATTACCAACTTGGTACCTATGTTCGACCTGCTATAGTAGGATTCTCCTCCTTCTGGACCTCTACTGCACTTGGATATGACCTAGATCTCAACAGATAGTACCTACCACTCATCATGACCACCTCTCTCTTCTTTCAGACTTCTTTCACCTAAGCTCAACAATATAATTAAACTCTTATTTATACATAAAAGTGAAAAATAAAGCTCATGTTTATGAAAGACATAAACATTTTAGAAAAAAAAACACCTCATAATGGTAAAAAAAAAACTTTTCTAAAATAGTCTAACATAAATAAACAAAGATGAAAAAAGCGAAAAAAAAGAAAGGTAGCCATAACAACTATTATAGCCTGTGCTAGGCATAAGGATAAAAATTATATAATAATTGCAACTAATTACTATATCTCAATTGTAAACCTTCGGTTTAGCTTTGGGACTTATTCTGGGCACTGACTCGACTCAGGTATCTCCTAAATGGGGGTGAAGATCTTTTCTCTGTATCATAGCACCATATTCGCAAAACAACAAAACATGTGGTTGCCTTCTACTAAGTTTATCCTGTTTTGGTAGATATAAACAATGCTGATCTTTTGAAGGGGGTAAGCCAAAATGCCCACTTTTTATCGAAAATTTTAGTAGAACTGGCACAAAATGACAAAGAGAGAAAGACCTCTTGATATTACTTAAAGGAAAGTAAGTTACTAAAAACAACAGAAAAGTTTTTCTTCTAGCCAAACTGTATTACTCGCATTTTGTTGGTGAGTGATAAACTCTGAATTTGTCAGCAGATAGCATATGAGAACTATCTCTAAATGACAAGCGCCGGATTTGCAGTAAGTGATAAACTCTGAGCCTGACGGCAGGTAGTATATAAAAACTATCTCTAAATAACAGGTGCTGTCTTATAGTCCCTCTTTTTACGACTTATGTACTTTGGCTAATTGGTTTCTACTATTTTTGTTGAAAAGTTTTTTCAGCAAAATTTGGTTCAAGTAATTGTTGGAAAGAGTTGATATGTCTTAATGATCTTTTTAGCGCTATTATTACCTGTGCTAGGCTGAAAAAAATTATATTAAATAAATTTTCTGACTAGGTTATTTGGACTTCTAAACAACATAAGTGATCAATCTTGGTATTACATAAAGCAGCACAGTTCATAAACAAAACAAACCAGGCATGTGATTACAGTCTGCTGGAACTATTCAGATTTGGAGGTCGTTTAAAGTAATGATACTACCAAAATTAATTTTCAAAAAAGACCTATTTCGTCTCCATTAAAGCAAATTAAAATTTTTTATAAGAAAGAACAAATAAAATTTATATATTTATACTTTTATAAATTTTATCTATTCAAAAAAAGTATCAAAAAATTTCGTCTTTTAAGTAAAATAGGTCAAAAACAATTTCGTCTTCAAATTTTAATTTCAGGTTTTTGAACCTAAAATAATTTCATCAGTATATATAGTTTAAAGCCATATACTCACATAACTTTTTTGTGTAAATTAACCAACCGGAATTATGAAAGTTTGTTTATACAGATTAGCTTAAAGAAGTTAAAAAATAAAGAAAATGCAAAAATATGAAAAACTACAGTCTAAACCTGTCTTGAAGTATTAACAAAAAATGTCAAAGAAACGATTTTACCTATAGACTACTCTGCCTTTATTTCTATTTCCAAAACTTCAAAAAATTATATGGGTACATGGCTTTAGCTATCCTTCAGATTTGGGAGGTGTAAACAATGCCGATCTTTTGGAGGAGGTAAACTGTTTTGCCCACTTTTGTAAGAAATTTTGGAAGAGTTGCGAGGAGACAGAGAAAAGAGACAAACCTACTTTGTTTTATTTAATAAAAAAGTGTGTATTTTCTTTACTCAACACACTGAATCTATAGAAAGGCGCAGTTATTTTTCTTATTTTTTCAGATAAGTGATAAACTCTGGGCTTGTTGGCAAATAGTATATAAGAACTATTTCTAAATAACAAGTGCTTAGCCCTCATGGTAAATGATAAACTCTGAGAAAGTTAGCATGTAGCATATGAGAACTATTTCTAAATAACAACTACCAAGTTACGGAGCTTAAAGACTATTTCCCTGACTGTTTCTACCTTTACAGATACTTGTATTTTTTAAAAATTTTGGATTTTTGTAGTAAAAGTAATCATTGGGAAGAGTTGTAGATCTTATTATTATTATTGTTATTGTTGTTAATATTGTTGAGATTAATATTAGTGATATTATTGATATTAACAAAAAGAGAAAAAGAAAAAGAAAACTTCTCAGAACTAGAAACCACGCTATATAGAATATGCCTTATTCTAAATTAATTCTGATCAACACAACATGCAAAAATTTGATAATTCTATTGGACAATTGGGATGAACTATTAACTTACAAAGTTTGTTTTTAAAGATAATAGAAATATTATAGAACGTGTTAATATTATAGAACATGTTAGAGATTTTATCTCCATTAGATCCAGAAAATCATAATAATCAAAACAAGCTACAATATATGATGAATGGACTATCAGTTAGCTAGATAATCAAGAAATAGATTTACTATATATTTCTTGATGTTTCTTAATATTTTTTAATTTTTTTTTTTTTTTTTTTACTTTAATAACCTCGCACTAATTTATTAGATTTTTGTAATTTACAAAATTAACTATCTAATTTATGTATTAGGCATATACCTGGCTGCTATAAAGTGCCCAAGTATAGTTATTGTACTGATGTTGCCAACAAGCTCTATATATGGTGCTACCTATATTTAAAAACCTGCTATAGCTCAACGAAATTCATCTAACCACTTTTCTGGGTCTTGGGATCCATCTCCTAAGAAGAAACTAACGGGTAGAAGAGTCTTTTCACTACCTTGCCCTAATGCAGCTGCGAGAACAGTCATAGCATTGGCTGCCTGGGTTAAAGCTTGGTTAGGGCCTGGGGCTTGTTGTTGTTGTTGTTGCTGTGGCTGCTGTTGTGGCGGATGCTGTTGCTGTTGCTGTTGCTGTTGCTGATTCATGATTAAGATAGGGGGAGGTGAAGCTGGGGTGGTGTAGTGAGAGTTAGGATTATCGTCTAAAAGTTCTAAGGGTTCTGAGGGTTCTAAATTTTTGATATTTCCGAGGGGTTCTTC